ATCTCTTCCTTTTCTTCGGCTGCAGACGTTACCTTCTCGTACGGGCCATTAGCTCCTCTCGTAGACTCTTAAGGCGGGCCTCTAAGGACAGCTTCTCTCGAACGTCTTCTAGCCCTATTTGCTATAAAAAGACAGCTAGCTTCTGCTTTAGCAGGGGCTTCGTAAGACCGTCGGCTTTTATTGATACCGTTGGAACCTAACGGACGGAAATTAGTCCCCTTTAGACCTCTTAGCGTAACCAATGCTAGTGGATATCGATATGCCGTAGCCGGGTCGATAGCTTGCTGTTTTCCTCCGTAAGAATTCGTATAGTCTACGTGTTATCGCATTCTATAGCTAACGGGGACGGAATTTGCAGTCGTAACGATATTAGTAGCCGGCTAAGGAAAATCGCTTCTTTTGACGCTTCTAAAAGAGCTAGTAGCTCTGCCTCCGTGCTTAATATAGTGACGGTAGCTTGCTTCGAAGCTCTCTAAGCAATAGTTCCTCTAAAAAGGGACATAATATACCCCTATGAGCTCTTTCTGTCTAATAAATTGTCCGCAAAGGACGAATCGCTCGAACAGAGGAAGATTTCGGTAGCTGATTTCCTTCCCTGCCCTCCTAGGCGCAGACTATATGATCTCGTTAAATAAAGATAAAGGATAGCTCTGTCTGCTGCTTCTTAATGCCTAGGGCTAGGATTCTGGTTATGCCTAGCTAGCCGGGAGACCGTAAAAGAGATATCCGGTCTAGTAGAAATAGCTGAAAAAGCAGGAGCCTACCTTCTATTAGTATTAGTGTTTCTCTTGCTCCTAGCTTAAAAGGACGGATTAGGCAAAAGCTCTTCGTCTAATATAGGCGTAGAGGGAAGCTTCTTATCGAGGGAATTAGGGAGGAATTTATAAGCGACCTTATTAATATAGGCGTCCTAGGTAAGCTAGATAGTCCGTTAGGACCTATTCCTAAGGATTCGTATCCCTAGGAACCACTTTAGCTCCCCTAGCCTGGTTATCTTATACCTTTGTTATAGGCCTTTTATAGCCTCCCTAGCAGTTGCTTCTTCCTCTTTTAGGTAGGCCTAGATAATGTCGTCGACGTAGAAGAAGACCGTGATTTTACCCTTCTACATTATACACGGTTCCTAAGGGACTTTCTTAAAGCCTAGGGCTTCGAGGGAACCTATTAAATGCTGTTGCTATAGAAGGGGTGATCTTCTTAGTCCGTATAGAGCTTTCCTAAGCCGTAGAACCTTTCCTAGCTGTTGGAAGCCTAGTAGAAGGCGCATATAGACAACTTCTTCTTCTTCCTCGAGTAGACAGTTAACAAAGGCGTTAACTGCATCCATCTATTCGAGCTCGAGGTCGAATTCTGCTGCTATAGCTATAAGGGTCCGAAAAGACATCCCTGCTAGGGTAGTTGCCCTAGTAGGAAGATCCCCTTTTTCCTATTAATTCCTATAGATAACTAGCCGGGCTTTGCACTTTTAAAGGAAGCCGTGTTTATTAGTCTTATAGATAAAGACCCACTTATAGCTAAGGACCTGTTTTCCTCTTGCCTTTTCCTTGAGGACCTCTTCGAAAGACCCTATGTCTTCGTGTGAGGCTAGGTGGTCTTTCTGGGCCTAGAAAAACTAGTCTCTAAAGGGGTGTCTTTCTAGCTGCTTCTAGTTTGCTAGTAGGTCCGGGAGGTCTCTTTTATATACCTTCCTTGCTAATACTGGCTTAAAAAGCCGGCCTGCTGTGAACGCTCCGTGGGAACCGTCTTCTATTGGCGTTGGGTAGAAGTCGGAAAAACGATCGAAATAGGGGAGAAATTAGTCTTCTTTCGTATCGGGCCCTATACCTTCCTTTGCTTCTCGAAGCAGGGATAAAAAGGCAGCCGGGTAATCCTTCGAGAGAGGTGCCTTTCCCACCCCCTTAGGGTTCGAGACGGGAAGACTAACTAAAAAAGCTGCTTCTAGATCTTCTTCTTATTCCGTAAGAGGAGGCGTAGGGAGGTAGGCGTATTCTAGCTCTACCGCTTTCCTATAGTCTCCTTCTTCGTCTAGATCATTTGATCTAGTAGCTTCCTCTTCGAAGTCGGCGTTATCCTCGACTGCTTCGACGTCGGTTTCTTCTTCCGTTTCCTCGTCTAGGACCTCTTCTTAAGACTGTTAGGAAGGGGGGATTTAAATCTTCTAAATTAGCTAACGTTGAGAGAGTAAGAGGGGCTGTTGATCCCTCTTTCCGTCGAAGAAGCTAGATTCGTCGAAAATCACATCCCTAGTCGAAATAACCTTCCGTAGAAGAGGAATCCAGATCTAGAAGATATTCGTAGAATTATAACTAACGAGGTAACTAATAAAGGCTCTAGGATTAAGCTTTCTTTTCTTCTTCCTTTTTAGCTATGCATCGGCAGTCATAGCGTATGCCTTATAGCCGTAGGCACGAAGGTGGGCTAGCGAGGCCCTCTTCTTCGTAAAGAGCTTAAGGGGGGATTTCCAGTCTATTCCTTAGGTCCTTAGGGTCCGGTTCCGAAGGTAATAGGCGGTCTCAACGACTTCCCTCTAAAGGTCGTAGGGAAGCCTCGCAGCAAGTCTTATCATACGGGCCCTTTCTATCACAGCACCCCCTGATCTTTCTGCCCCTCCGTTCTAGGCCTGGGTATTCGGTGCTAACGGTAGGGGTAAAATGCCCCTTTTTCGAAGCCAATTTAAGATATCCTTCGTAAATAGCTCTCCGTTAGACCGTATCTTCTTTACCTCGTAGCCAAAGTAGGATTTTATCTAGTTAACGAAGTCCCTAAGGGCAGACTAGTTATGCTTACTTAGGTAGGTCCGTAAGAAATAGGGGAAAACCATCCCTAAAAAAGCGTCTGTGAAAAACATTACCCTAACGAAGCTTTCCTGATCCCTAGAGACGTCGGTCTAGTCGACCTAAATTTCCTTACACGGCTGGTCCGGCCGTAAAGGCGTTCGTCTGGAAATTCGTCTCCTGGTCTTTCCTTGGCCGTAGTGTTCGCATTCGACGGTCTTTAGGCCCCTTATTCGTACGCCCTGTTGTTGTCCTAGCTTATGTAAAGCTAAGGGGCCCGGGTGACCAAGTCGTGCGTGCCAAAGAATGCCGTCTCCTTGGGCTGCCGGAAGAGGGTCCTTTGTGGTAGACCTATTCCTCCTAGTAGGGAAAGCTGACTTCTCGAGTGGTTCCTTCCTAAGGATAGGTCGGAATTCGAGAATAAATTGACCGAATTTTTCCTCGATGAGCCCAATAGTCTGATTCTTCTAGACTAGCCTCGTAGGCTTAGACGTCGTATCCTAGAAGATTCCTTCCTCTCGAAGAAGGCGGAAGGAAATTAGGCTCGTTAAAAATCGAGGGCAAAAAGCTACCCTTTTCCGTCGAAGAATTCGTAAAGACCCGTTAGGTAATTTCATCGTAAAATTTACCCTTCTATATCCCTCTATCCGTACGGTCGATTCCCCGGCAATAAGATATTCCCTTCGTGCCTTCTTAAAGGACCGGAAACGTGAGAGTGTGTTGCAGATGTCGAGGGAAGCACCAGAGTCAAGGATAGCTGATTTTTATAGGGGATAATTAAAGGGCTCTAACGGTTGGTTTTGCTGATCCGTGGGGAAGACGAATGCCGGATTTGCTATACCAACGATTTTTCCTCGAATTTACGGCTCGAATAGGGGCAGCGGTATTAGTTGCTATTTCTTAGCAACCCGAATCTCGTCTATCTTCTTCTGCAACGAGGGGTCCTCCTTAAGAGACTATTGTACTGTTTCTTATAGCCTCTTTAAAGGGTTGACTCCTTTAGGTCGGTTTTCCTCGAAGACCTGCTAGTAGTCTTCTAGCCGATGGGGCTTTTTGCATGCTTAGTAGGTAGGTCGATTCCTCCTCGTACGTTGTCTCTTCGAGGAATCCTCGTCCCTTTCCGGAAGGTCTGCTTAAAAACCCCCCCTTTTTACCCCTTATTGCTGATTTTAATAAAGAGGTTCGATTTCGACTAGTTCCCTGATTTTTCGACTAACGGACTGAAAGGTCCATTGGGGGACTAGTCGGGCCGGTCTGACTAACGGGACCGGGGCCGGGCCCGGAGTAAGATGCGGAGCCGGGGCCGGGCCTGGGGCCGCAGCTGCAGTTAACGACGGCGTTGAGGCTCTCGAGGGAGGAGGAGCCGGAGGGGCAACAGCCGCAGCAGCAGCAGCGGGAACCGCAGCAATAGGGGCTGCAGCAGCTGCAGGGGCAGCAGGTCGAGCCGTCTAGGTCGAGAGCTGGCCACGAAGGAATAAGACTGCTTGCTGTTGTACTCTAGCAGCCTCTTCGTCTAGTTCCCGGCTAGCTTCTCGAAAGATAGTCGAGTAACCGTCACTAATAGGCTTTATTAGCAGTGATATATCCCGTAGCCACTAGCCGGAAAGAGCTTCTATGAGGAAGTATTGGTTAGCTTCTTCGAGGATCTCTTCCTACTTAGCTAGCCACGAAGAAGCTAGCAGGTTCCTAGCAGAAAAGGCTCCTAGGTGTGCCGTATAGGTCTTCCTAATACAGTTAGTCATATAGCCCCTCGAGGGAGCTGTCGAGGTCTCGAGCTTTAAAAGCCACTGCCTAGGAGTCTCTTCCTCTCGAAGAGTGATTAGCTTTGCGGCACTAACGGATTCCGTTATCGCCGTGCGTGTAGTAGTTAGTAGCTTCGTTTCGTAGAGGTATTCCTTTCGGTAACTCTCGTAGTCGCCTAAGGTAGCAGAAAAGGCTCTCTGTTGTGCAGAGGTTAGCTCGGAGAAGAGGGTAGCTCCCTCTGCAAAGTCCGTTGCCCTAGGACGAAGAGGGGGCTCGAGAGGGTCCTGCTTATCGGTGGTGCCCGCAATTGCGTCGTAATTCACTTAGGCCACGTGACCACTTATCGCCCGCAAAACGCCGCCCGTGAAATCGTGTGCAGGACGCCTGATAAGTGCATTTGATAAGTTCCCACCCAACTTATCGGGTTTCCGGCCAACACCAGCCCAGACATTCGCCCCGTAGAACGTTGCCCGATCGACCGAGATGGCCGCGGACGACTCGTACACGGCAGCTGACGAGCGCGCCGTGCCGCCCGGAGGGCGGGCATCCAGGCGAAGAAGGACGAACAGCCGGCGAACACGGCGCGGAGTTACGCGGCGAAGCAGCGGGAGTGGAAGGCGCGTCCCCGGCCGGTCCTCCACTTCGATCCCTGTCACGTACGGCCCCCTGGGCGGCTAACAGACAAATACGTATAGGCCTGGTGCCATACGCCTCGGGCTGATACGTATAGGCCTGGTGCCATGCGCCTCGGGCTGCAGAAGACGGCGAGCTCTATAGCTGGCCCGACGGCGAGCTCGTAACGCCGGACAAGCTGGCGGCGTGGCTCAAAGAGGATATCCTGTTACGACGCGTTGTGCCGCCGCAGAAGAAGCCGCGCGCGGGTAAGGTTAGGGGCAACGGCAACGGCGAGGCCGTACAGGTACGGCAACAGCGCGAACAGGAGCAGCTCGAGGCCACGGCCATGGCAGAGGCCGAAAGCCTGGCCGAAGCTTTGGAGGTCCCCCTGGCCGAGGCCGCCGAGCTGCTCGCTGACGACCGCGAGGGCTACGTGCCATCCACAGGCCTCGCGACGGCTGCAGTAGACCTTACCGAAGGGTATTTGCTTACGAGGGGCACTATCGACGCCTATATCGCGGCCGTTGTCGAGCTATGGAGGCTCCGGGTGGCTCACGGCAACGCGAATACGGAGAATCCCGGGCGCCGCCGTACGAGGATTCCTTGAGCAACGGGGCCGGCAGCGGGGGAAGCACGACCGCGCCTCCTTTAAAGACCGCGGGAAGCGACGGGATCCAGGCCAGCTACCTCCCCGATGAATGGCTTCGGATCCAGGATCTCCTTCTCACTGGCGCCGCGTATACGCCGCAAAACCTCCGTACGCGAGTCGACCTCCTCTTCGGCCACTACTACCTCTTACGGGGGGAGAACCGCCGCAAGATGGAGCTTGCAGACCTATCCCTACTCGACTATCCGCCTTCGGAGGGCCCGACCCCCTGTAGTTGCCTGGTAAGCCTTTTACGGGACGGCAAGCTAAATAAGACGGCGAGGAAGGAGTTTATGGGCGCGCTCCGGCACAAGGACCCCTTATTCTGTACGGGCCCTAGCACAGCTCTTCTTTGGCGCTGGCACGTCGCCGGCGAACCGCCCCGTCCTTCCGGCGCCGTCAGGACTGGTATCGGATCAAGGTCCTCGTCGGGCGGGACCGCGAGCAGGAGCTCGTACCCGACGCAGCTACAAGAGACCTGGCGTATCTTCGGCGCTGCCGGCCTTATCGCGTCGAAGAAGACGCACCTCCCGCGCAGGGTGGGCGCCCAGGACGCGGAGACCCATGGCACGTCGCTCGCCCAGATCTCGCAGGCCGGCCGCTGGAACCAGAGCGTGCTCTGCCAGGCATATCTTACGCACCTACCGCGGCAGTTCATGCGTATCGTCGCCGGCTTCTCGGCTTCCCCGGGGGACTACTTCCTCGCGCGTGCGGCTCACGAACCCCCGTACGTCTTACAACGGACTATTCCTCACTTGGCTTTGAAGGACGGATCGAGGACCATCCAGAATTCACCGTGCTCACGGACACTGCAACACAAGTTCGTGGCGTTTTAACTACCGAGGGTTATCTCGGTCACGTTTTTGCCTTAGCCCTGATGCTCTCACACGTCTGAAGAGAGATGTTTCGCGTTGCAGTAACCTCGCAGAAATACGAAATTATTCAACAAATGACGTCCTCACCGCTTTAGCTTGGAAAACAGTAATGGACGCAAGGTACTCGGAGACAAGCCTTCGAGACAGCGACATCTCAGTCCTTAATTTCTGCGTTGGCGGACGCACCAGATTGAACCCTACTGTTCGCGCAGATACACTGGGATGTTTTATGACTTTCGGCCAGGTTGAACTACCAGTTCGACAAATAACTACTTCAGAGAGCCTCGCAGCCACTACGGTATTACAAACGGTTGGTAAGTTCTTGTATTCGTCTTCCCACAACCTCTTCACTCTTGTAAAAATCGTCCCATGCCATGCCTTTGGGCAAATTTTCTGTATATGAGTCCTTCCTCGGACATTGACCACCCTGCTTCCACCAGCTTCGCAGCGAAATTGGTAGTTTCTGAGCGGAGCGGGGTTACATAATACAGCAGTCCGAGTTGCACAGAGTTAGCTTCAGCAACCGATATGTTATTCAGGCATTCTCTATTTTTGTATCTATCGGAAAGAGTGGCCTTTCAGGACTAGGAGAATGGGCATTGGGCAAGCGCCAGGGTGCCGCCGACTTCCTTGCCTGACCATGTTGACCTCGGCACAACTTTATCCAGCGTATGTGTAAGAGGCTGGCCCGGAGTTTACTCAACAAGCAGGTGCCTATGTGTTGTCTATCTAGAGCTGAGGAGGAAAGGAAGCTGAACTTGAGGCGTAGCCTCGAGTGCGAGCTTATATTACCCTTCACAGAATGTTCTCGCAGCTTCCGGGTCCGCGGGCGGGCCGGTGCTGCCACCCAGCACGACCCACCGGACCCGGTACAACCGGGTCCACCAAGCCGGGCACAGCCCGTGACAGTATGATCATATATGATCATACGCCTGGGGCTGTATGGTATATGTATATGGGCAATATATGATTTATATATGATTTAACTAAATCATACGCGTATGATTAGAAAGCCTGAGGCCTACTTGAAGGTCAGTTTCTCCAAGTGTTCAGCGTCCTACCTTCAGCGACTGAAGCGCGGTCTGCCAAGTTTAAGGCTGTTGTGCCGGTGCCGGTCAACGAAGCACATCACGAACTTCTCCTTCCAGGGGTCTAGCCACGTATTGATAGCGTAATCCACGGCGGCCTGCGGATGGCCGGCTGCTTCGAACGCGGGGACCAGTGTGTTATAGATAGCCTCATTAGGGTGTTAACGATGCCTGCCCACTCTTTGAGGAAGGCTGTGAACGTAGGGGCTCGGATTGTGCGATCTCCTTCCTTTATTGCAGCAGGAAGTGCTTTTGCACTTGGTAAGAACGTTTTGTTGATATGCCAGCGGCAGAGCAGGTGAACTACGTGGTTCTTTCCCCTTTCTCTCCTTGTAGACAATCACTTTGTCCAAGCCGCACTCGACCTCGTTCGTGCCTTGTACCGTCACATCGTGCAGCGCCCCCGGCTTGACAAGAAATTCAAGAATCATGAAGTGAAAAGTATCAGGGTTTTTGCATCTACGAGCGCGAGACTCAGGAAGTCGCATGCGCTATTGATGATCAGATTATCCCTAGGTCTGTGAAGACGTTAATTATTCTATTTACCCTTAGCCGTGTCCTGCGCGTACCATTATGTCGTAGATAACTAAATAGGCCATTAATTGCATGCGTAGCGACTAATGTGACGGTTCCAAACTTGTATGAGGATTAATGATACTAAGACGTAATAAGTTATTCCTAGCATTCCAACTTCGTCTAGAGTTTTAGGCGATAACAGTGTACCACCTGCTAATTTGTATTCTGCACCTTCGCTATTAATGCGGGACGTTATTCCTAGCATTCCAAATTTAGTCTAGAGTTTTAGACGATAACAGTCTACTATCTATTCGTGTCACATTGACCATTGCACCACGCAGGCAAAAGTGGAATGCACACTCCAGCAGTTGACGCTGCAAATGGCGCACATAGCCTGTGTTTGACAATTCGCATTCCGCACCTTCGCTATTAATGCGGAACGCGGCACTAACATCATCTACTAGGGGGCCTAAAAGTCGGCCGCCGACCCTGTTCCACAGGGACGGGGGGTGCGTTGATTGAGGACAAACGCGTTGATTGGGGAAAGGCAGGTACTTCTTAGCCCCGCAAATTTATTAGCTAAACAAAGTATTACATTTAATCGGTTAAACGCATAACTAATCCCGCCAGTACGATGTATGCAACAAGTCGGGGATTCTATATACCATCGTGACCTGAAACTGATGAAGATACTATTATTCTAGCTCTGCCTTGATGACTTCAAATTTATGCCCGGTACCTCAATGAAGCTGTCACCTATTATTTATACCCCATCAGCCTCAAGGGTCAGTACCTGCAATGTGGCACGCTCTATGGCCTCCAAGGTCACCAAGTCAGCCGCCTCTTGTATGACATCGCGATCTTAGGTTCTCGGCCAAGTGATGTGTTGCTATACGAAAATGCGTGTTGGTGTTGATGGAATTTGAAATTAGCGCGGTTATGTAAGAAAACAGTAGTACTTACATTTATGTAGTAGGATCATCATTCTATGTAATTTTTTTTTCCTTCCCGATCAACGCGTTTGTCCTTAATCAACGCACCCCCCCGTCCCTGTAGAACAGGGTCGGCGGCCGACTTTTAGGCCCACCAGGCTTGTAGCTTATATGCTGATAAGGCCGGGCAATTTTCTTCCTAAACCTATCCTAGCATCGCGTACGTACCTGGGTTTGATCGCGCTAGCTCCCCGTAAGACGTCCTCAGCTACATTTATGCCCCATACGGTTGCGACCCACACCTTGTATATATACGTTTCTGCCGACATAGTCTGTTTTAAGCAGAAGACTCTAGCGGAATGTAGTAGAACGCTGCTAGCATCTAAGCATCTGCTTCATATCCATCCTTTATACCTCGATTAATAAAGTAAGGAAGTGTGAGACAATACTATATAGGCAAACCATTTACCTATAAAAGCTGCAGAGCATCTTCGGACTTAAGGACGAATAGCAGCTCCTCTCTATCACTTATCGAGCATTGATCGATTCCTCTTAAGTTCACCGCTGTGGCCCAAGTAGCAGGGCCACTATCAGCTAGTCAAGGCGTCCGGCTAGTCAAAATCACCACCACTGGTGGGGCAGCACACGTAGCCGACCCGGTCAACGTGTGGCCCCTACCAAGCCAAAGGCAAGGCCCCCGCCCGCCGCCATAAGTAGCAGCTCGGGAAAGCATTGCCTGCGGTCACATCCGCACCGTGCCCGACACCGCCAGTGCTGGCCGAGCCTCGCGTCACAAGCAGTGCGACCGGCTCTCGTCAGATTACGAGGTTATCTACTGGTCAGCCGCACCAGACACGAGGACAGCTGGCAGTCCGGGTAAGGTGGCAAGCCGACGTCCGGACCCAGCCTACAACCGCCTCGACATGGCGCCCACCACTCCCCTCTCGCCGGCCACCGTTTGTGCCAAACTCCCGATCGTTGGCCCGCCTCCTTTATGGGCGTTGGTGGCCGGTGTGACTACAGCGCTACTGTTTCCACGCGTACCGACCGTGGACATTACGGCGTCGGAGCAGCAGTGTGTGCCGCTGGGCCGCCCGCTGGTCACGGTCGCCTGTTGGCTCGGTGGACCGGCCGGCACCCCGAGTTACTTCGTAATGTGCACAAGGCCCGACCGTGGCGGGGTTGGCGGCGATGTGCACGGAAGGCTGATTGTATCGGACGGAATGTTCTTCGGCTGTACGCCCGTTAGCGTGTCAGCTCCCGGCCGCGGGTACACAGTGCATCCCGTTGCCCCCAATGTGAAAAACCCGCTCCTATGGGTAAACCCAGCCAGGGGAAGGATCAACGCCTGTGAAGCGCCAAGAAAAGATCCCGGCGCGAAAGGACCGAAGGCCGGTCGGGTCGATCCGAAGGCAGCCCGAGCTCTCGCGACGGCGCCGTATGGGACTAGAGACCCGGACGGAACCGCCGAGCCACAAACGGCGGTCGTCTTTGGGAAGCCACCTCCCGCCCGACCCCCGGCCCAGGCATGGCGAGTGCTGTCGTACTGCGACAGCCACGGTCTGCCATCCTTAGTGGCGTTGTGTAACATGGTCGGAGTGAACGAACTGTTGCACTTCTGCAGCGATCACGAGCGCGGTTGGTGGTACGACCTGTTCGGTAACCAGATGGCTGACGATACGGCTGGCTGTTACTGCCACGTGGTGGGTTTCAGGGTGCCCCCGACCCGTTACTGGCCGCACGCATCCGGAAGGCGGCGGCCCATACGGCAAACGGGGCTACATTTCGATTACTCACCACACCCCGCCGAATACTCCGGGTTAGCGTTCAATGTCGACAAGTCAAATCCGTGGGCTTACGTCTCAGATGTGGACCATACTCACTCCGGAATGGTGTGCAGGGATGGAAGTACGCCCCGTTTCACCTTGAACAGCAGCACGCCGGCCACTTTCAGGAGTAATCAAACATACACTCCAGATTTTCAAACATACACTCCCGACCTAAGCCCCATTTGGAAGAAGACCCCGCCACCAAAATTTGGCGCGCGCTTTCCCAACGCCGCTGCCGCGGCTGCCTGCCTAGATATATTGTCGCATATCACGCCCGTGTCAGTTCCTGAAACCTTATGCTCGATCACTGCCACTGCTGCGCCGCGGCTTCGCCGCAATGATCGGGTATATATTGTTGCACGAATGTGTGCATCGATTCTTTTCCTTTCCTTTGTTCTTTAGATAATTCTCATCAATTGACTGATGCCACAAAGATCAACCGCTGTCACGTGCGAGGTGTGGGACACTATTGTCTGACATATATGGATTCTATCTGCAATTATTACCAACGCCGGAAGATGCATCCCTTAGAGTCATTCAATTGAAGCTATCAATAAGCCCGGCCCGATCGATCTTCCGATATATATACAATATGC